AGTACTGTTTCTGAGCAGAAAGAAGTTGAATGTCTCAGCTGGGGGAAAAAAGGTCATTCAGTCATATTGAACTTAATTAATCAGGACACAGAGATTAACATAGTTCCCTTGAGTAAAAGCCATAATTAATCCTCTTAATGCTTTTCCCCCCTCAAAAGAAAGAAACCATTAGGTTTAAGGTAAGATACTTTGTTTGCAACAGGTTTAATGGAACTGGTGAACAGCTAAATGTTTTTCTTTTGATCCCCATCTTAGAAGCCACATGGCATAAGGATGAATAACTCAGTATTTTTGCCTTTGATAAGAGTTTTTTATCATGCTAAAGAAACTCAAGGAGAGTTAGGACAATATGTTTTCATTACCCTGTTTTTAGAAGCTCTCCAAATTATTATTTTTAATATAATCAATGCTCTGTTGCTATTTATATGATCCAGATGTCCTTGCACAAAGAAATTGTTCTGTTATGGGATGTTGCTCTTTCCTATCAGCCAAATTACATTATATCTCATGCATGGAATTGTGGGGCATGGTTTTTTGAGGGGTGGGGGTGGGGGTAAAGCTAGTGTTGTTTTAGGATTATGGTTAAAAATTTCACATAGCAAGTCTTGCATTTCCTGAAGCCACTGAGAACTTTTATGTACTCTCTGAATAGGATCAACCTATTGATAACCACTCTATGCCACTTCTGTTTCTTCTCATCAGGATTCACCAAAAATGGCTTGAGCTATTGTTTATCTCAATGCATAATCTTGCCAACAAGTTTGGAAAACTCAACAGTGGCCAGAGGACTGGAAAAGATCAGTCTACATCCCAATACCAAAGAAGGGCAGTGCCAAAGAATGCTCCAACTACCAGACAATTGCACTCATCTCACACGCCAGCAAGGTTATGCTCAAAATCATACAAGGTAGGCTTCAGCAGTATGTGGACCGAGAACTCCCAGAAGTACAAGCGGGATTCCGAAGGGGCAGAGGAACTCGAGACCAAATTGCCAACATGCGCTGGATTATGGAGAAAGCCAGAGAGTTCCAGAAAAACATCTACTTCTGCTTCATTGACTATGCAAAAGCCTTTGACTGTGTGGACCACAGCAAACTATGGCAAGTCCTAAAAGAAATGGGCGTGCCTGACCACCTTATCCATCTCCTGAGAAACCTATATGTGGGACAGGAAGCAACAGTTAGAACTGGATATGGAACAACGGATTGGTTCAAAATTGGGAAAGGAGTACAACAAGGCTGTATATTGTCACCCTGCTTATTTAACTTATATGCAGAATACATCATGCGGAAGGCTGGACTGGAGGAATCCCAAGCTGGAATTAAGATTGCAGGAAGAAATATCAACAACCTCCGATATGCAGATGATACCACTCTGATGGCGGAAAGTGAGGAGGAACTAAAGAACCTTGTAATGAGGGTGAAAGACGAGAGTGCAAAAAACGGTCTGAAACTCAACATCAAAAAAACTAAGATCATGGCCACTGGTCCCATCACCTCCTGGGAAATAGAAGGGGAAGATATGGAGGCAGCGACAGATTTTACTTTCTTGGGCTCCATGATCACTGCAGATGGAGACAGCAGCCCCAAAATTAAAAGACGCCTGCTTCTTGGGAGGAAAGCAATGACAAACCTTGACAGCATCTTAAAAAGCAGAGACATCACCTTGCCAACAAAAGTCCGAATAGTCAAAGCAATGTTTTTTCCTGTTTTGTATGGAAGTGAGAGCTGGACCGTAAAGAAAGCTGACCGCCGAAGAATTGATGCCTTTGAATTGTGGTGCTGGAGGAGACTCTTGAGAATCCCCTGGACTGCAAAGAGAACAAACCTATCAATTCTAAAGGAAATCAACCCCGAGTGCTCAGTGGAAGGACAGATCCTGAAGCTGAGGCTCCAGTACTTTGGCCATCTAATGAGAAGAAAAGACTCCCTGGAAAAGACCCTGATGTTGGGAAAGTGTGATGGCAAGAGGAGAAGGGGACGACCGAGGATGAGATGGCTGGACAGTGTCTGCGAAGCAACCAACATGAACCTGACACAACTCCGGGAGGCAGTAGAAGACAGGAGGGCTTGACTGGGACCAACAAAAAAAGGGCCATTAGTAAAATGCAATACTTAGTTGAGACAGTTTTGTTTGTATCTTTGTTTTTAAAAAATATGTAGTTAAGTATTAAACTTAGGGGCGTTGTTTGTAATTCTTCAGGTGGCTATGGATTAGAATCCCTACATTTTAGCTTTAGGTGGCTTTACCTACATTTTACCATTTTGGGAATCACTCACTGCACCTCAAAGCCTCAAGGTCATGAGTCACCTGTGCATTGCAGGCTTAATTCTTTGCAGATTCTGTAACAAAATACGACTACGAAAAATTGAAATGTCCTTTCCTAAAGAACAGGGGGTAGCTAGTTTAAAAGTTGAACATTTCCTTAAAGGAACACTCTGACTCTTAGAATGATTGTTCACCTTTCACAAAAAAGAACCAGCCAGCTACAAGAACACATAGCACAGGTCAGCGGTCAACCACCACCCCATTCCCAGCATTTATTCCATGACTATCTATTTATATCTGTTACTACACATTAGTATTTACATTATGCAAATACTAGAAACACAATTGGCACTGAGATAGGAGGGGAGGCATCCAATGAAACAAAATAAAATTTGTTTAAAAGCAGTCAATTTATTAAAAACCTACACCCCATGTTTTTGTTATCATAGAAAAATTTGGTTTTCTTCTTTAATTGAGAAATAAATGCCTCAGATGTGTATATACAACTCTGTCTTGTTAACAGCTCCTTTAATTCTTGAAACATTATTTTGTTCATGAAATGTTGAAATTATGCTACCAAGCCAACTGAGTTTTGATAAACAAATTTTATCATAAAATAAAATCATAAATCATTTAATTATTTTCATCATCAGTCAAAGGAATACATATAAGACTCCTTTAATTCTTGAAACATTATTTTGTTCATGAAATGTTGAAATTATGCTACCAAGCCAACTGAGTTTTGATAAATCTCATTGTTTGTGATAATGATATGTATTTAATTATTGTCATCATCAGTCAAAGGAATACATATAAGATGTGTCTCTAGGATAAGGAAAGGATTAGGTCCAAATTCACAGCACATATAGAGGTCATGCTTACCACTTAAACCCTGCATACTGATTTGCAATGTGCCCTTCCCCAATATGGCTGGAGAGCACGGTAATTGCCATCAAACACATCTGGAGAACACGAGGTGTGGAAAGATGTTTGTAATATTTCAAGAGGTTGCCTATTTGTGTAAGCATGCAATATATATGTGCTGAGAACAACAACTAATCCTGGTGGGTGTCCAACCACACCTGACGGACATCTACCACAAGATCTGTGTGTGTTTTTAGGAGGCTTGTGAAGGACAAGGATTAAATTTGCCTGTTCCAAAACCAAGAGCCAGCCATGCAAAGCAAATAGTAATAGCAACATAGCTGAAGATAAGAATTTGCCTCTTCCAAAACCATGAGCCAGCCATGCAAAGCAAATACAATAGTAATAGCAACATAGCTGAAGATAAGAGGAAAACTGGTGACAACTGAGTGAAGGTCTTCTAAAAAAATTGAACATAAAGATGTATACAATTATTCCAAAATTGATAAACTCCATGTTCTGTTCAGCAAATATTCTCACCGGAGGTTAACATATGAAATGCTTCCAAAACCATGAGCCAGCCATGCAAAGCAAATACAATAGTAATAGCAACATAGCTGAAGATAAGAGGAAAACTGGTGACAACTGAGTGAAGGTCTTCTAAAAAAATTGAACATAAAGATGTATACAATTATTCCAAAATTGATAAACTCCATGTTCTGTTCAGCAAATATTCTCACCGGAGGTTAACATATGAAATGGCACAGAAGAAAATAGATTCTCGTACAGATTGTGAAACTGATCTAACAATAGGAAAATAGCTCTACCTGGACCATTTCCATCATGGCTAATGAGAATTTTATTCAGAACTCCAAGAGACACAGCCATCATGGAGAAAATATCAGTCTGCAGAAACACAAAAATAAGAAAAAAAAATGGCAGAAGGCAAAGATATAAAGCAGGTGCAGTCCCATTAAAGTAATTTTTATTATGCAATATATGCTGTACACAATACTAAGTGTACACAATTGTGCAAAACAGGTTTATGAATGAATATATTGCGTCTTAAAAATTATTATATTTTTATTTTAAGGATGTTTTATGAGTCAGCAATGAGTTTTAATAAACAGGCTTTGCATAACAAGGTGGACTATAGTATTTGGTGTATATTCTTCCCCTTCAGGATTACTTTCTCTGAATATCTTAGTTTTTTTTTCGTATAAAACCAAAAAAAGAGGTATCTGGTATAATCTCCTGTCTCTTCTTCCTTTACAGTATCTGCTCTACAGCATGCAATTGAGGAAGAAATGACTGAAAGTTAGATGTTGCCTTTCCTCCTTTACTTTGATAGCAGGGTCCAATGAGGGCCAGCAATATAAAGATGAATGCACATTTCTTCCACCCATTTGTTAAGCAAGGGCACCTTTCCAGATAATACTGCAAATTGTTTGAATAACAGTTCAGGATTTAGTGTCAGACTTTACACCATGATAAATGGCATAATGGACATAAAATATTATGTGCCCATAGAACAAAAATACTTAGCTACATTCTCTCACTACATTCAGAACAATTCTAATTCTTATTTTTAATGTTAGTTTGCTGCCTACCTCTCAAAGTCCATGGGCACTTCATGAATATAAAACTATTAAAACAAGGACAGCCACTTATATCACCAGTTACAAACATTACAATCAAAACAGGTAAAACAGTCAAAAATGGAATGAAATTGTTGAAACATTAGAAAATTGCAACAATTAGAGGATGCTAAGAGCCAACAATAAACAGCGGCATCAGCCATGAAGCTGAAGACTCGATGCCTGCCAGAAGAGGAAGTTTCTGAAAATTAATATATAGAGTGTTTTCCCGTTGGCACTGCACAGTAAGCTTTACCTTCAGCGAAAACAAAATAGATCCTCAAGTACAGTAGCTTGGGTCGAAGTAATTTGGATGCATTAAAGAACATGAACTGCCAATTAATCGCTAAATAGTTGCTCAAAAGTTTTCTTTACCTGACCACGTTGAAATTTGACATTGTTAGTCTTTGAAGTTTGAAGTTTCCGTTTTCCAGAATCTCCTCTGCTTCCAAAGAGGGTGATGTAGACATTAGATTTAGTTTCTGCACCAGGATTTGATCCAGTATATACACTGATCTCATACAATACCACTGAAATGAACACAAAAAGCAGTTGTGGCCAGGTATATACAATATTGGAGCCACAAAACACAGCATCCACACCAGAATCAAAGAACATGCAAGACTGCAGATTAAAGCAACTGGAAAAATCGGCAGTAGCTGAACATGTCCTGAAACAAGCTGGACACAAAATCCTATTTCAAAACACAGATACACAGGACAACACCAGCAATCATTATGTTAGACTGCACAGGGAAGCCACTGAAATCCACTGAAATCCATAAACTTCAGCACAGCTTTGACAAAAAAGAAGAAAGTCTAAAACTCACCAAAGCCTGGCTCCCAGCACTGAAAAATACAGCCTGCAAAAGGTCAACAAACTCTACCCAGCCACAAGGACCAGTGATCACTGCACACAAAAGACCAGCTAATGACACCCATCAATCACAGTGACAGATAATTTCTCCCCCTTATCACAACAATACTTTCAGCACAGCTTCGACAAAAAAGAAGAAAGTCTAAAACTCACCAAAGCCTGGCTCCCAGCACTGAAAAATACAGCCTGCCAAAGGTCAACAAACTCTACCCAGCCACAAGGACCAGTGATCACTGCACACAAAAGACCAGCTAATGACACCCATCAATCACAGTGACAGATAATTTCTCCCCCTTATCACAACAATACACCCACAACAAAAAAACACACTGATCACCACAATCACCCAATCTCCTGAAAAGGACAAAAGCTGATCCCAGTTATAAATAATCAACTATCCCACTATCTACACACTGTGTAAGTTGCAAAGTCAACTTCTCTATGTCGACCTTCAGTCCTAATGCTGACAAATGGACGGTATCAAGGACATGTGTATACCAGCTTGTGACTTCTACTCAGCAGCCAGGACCAAGTTATTTCACTCAGCGGTCAGGACCAAGTGTGAACGAGTAAATGGGTAAACAGTGAGAAAACGTTGATGGCCTGACTGGGTGCCATCATGAAAACAAGCATCCAGCCAACTCTCTGTATGTAACATGTGAATAACAGAGTCCAAGAAAGCCATACGGAATCTACTTCGAGTACGCCTTCAAAATCAAGGATTCTTTTTTTGGGGGGGTATTGAATTCAATAGCATAGCCGGTAGCTATGATAGAGAGTACCCAAGTATTAAACATGAAGGAACACCAATTGGAAAGATGAGGAGCCAGAGGACTGGTCAATGACAGAAAAGTCAGGCACAGCAAAGAGACCACTTGGTTTTGTGGTCCTGCCTGCAGATTTGTTGGTCAGGTTGCTGCCTGCCCACATGTCTAGAGGGTGGTGGCTGGTAACTTTGGGGTTGAGGCCTTTGATGTCCCTGGTATACTTTAGGCTGGTAGGAGCATCACCAGGTACTTGCTCTGGTATACTTTAGGCTGGTACTTGTGGTTGTTACACTGCAAATGACCATGCCACCTTCCAAACCTTGAGCAGGTTATCAAGAATAACATCAGTTTTCTGACTAAAAGCCGTACGCCAACAAACAGCAGATCCTCAACCTGTCAGTTGTTTGGATGCTGGTTTAAGGCATGTCGAGCAGCAATGCACTCATGACGTGCCCGTCCCTTTGCCTCCTAGTGATATGGGAGGCCTTAACTGTAAAGGTGCACAGGAGTTACCCACAGAATTGGCAAGGCCAAATTCAATAAGTGGTGATGATAAAGCAAAGCAAAGCAAAGTGTGCTGCTTATATACCGCCCCATAGTGCTTCAAGCACTCTCTGGGCGGTTTACAAGTTAATTATGCAGGCTACACATTGCCCCCCCTCGCAAGCTGGGTACTCATTTTACCGACCTCGGAAGGATAGAAAGCTGAGTCAACCTTGAGCCGGCTACCTGGGATTGAACCCCAGGTCGTGAGCAGTTTTGGCTGCAGTACAGCGGTTTAATCACTGCGCCACGAGGCACAGATAAGCACCCATGGCAGAGGAGTAGTTGGCGACATGGCAGCCAGAAAATAAAAATGCCGACTAAATAACTCCTTATCTCTTAACGGTAAAGGAGGGTGACTAACTGCAGCAACTGACATTAATACAATTGAAAATAGCAAATAAATTAGGTTTTTACAGAAGTCCTGCCTAAAGAGAGAGGTTTTGAGTTGCCTCTTAAAAACACGCAGTGAGGGAGCCAGACAAATTTCTGGGGGGAGATCATTCCAGAGGTGAGGGGCCACTGCCAAGAAGGCCTGCTTTCCTATTCTCTCTTTTTGGCTCTACTTTGGACGTTTGGCCCCTCAGCCACCCCTCTTGACTAAGGCGAGTGGGTAGGTTTAGGTGGGAGGAGGTGTTCCGCCAGATATTGAGGTCCTAAACCATTTAGGGCTTTAAATGTCATCATTAATACATTGAAATCAATGTGGAAATGAATGGGCAGCCAATGCAGGGCAGCCAGAGTAGGGGAGATATACTGATGTTTTCTCACCCCAGTAAGAAGTCTGGTTGCCGCGTTCTGCACTATTTGAAGCTTTTGCATCAATCTCAGTCTCAAAGGTAACCCCACGTAGAGCGCATTACAGTAGTCTAATCCTGAGACTACAAGTGCATGGAGCAGAGTGGTGAGGGCCCCTACATCAAGATAGGAACACAGCTGGGCAATCCGCCAAAGATGGAAATAGGCGGTACAGACCACTAATGCTACCTGGGTCTCCATGGTAAGTGCCAGGTCAAGATGGACCTCCAGACTGTGAACCAAATTCTTTGTGGTGAGAGCCACCCCCCCAAAAAAAAAACAGAGAGGGAGTTCCCGAAACCACTGACGTTGGGGCCACCCACCCTCAGGACATTTGTCTTGTCTGCGGTTCAGCCTCAGGGATTATTTTTGAATTCCTGTCAAAAATAATTCACACTTCCATGTGCATCATGTAGTCACTTTTTTTAAAAAAAACTGACTCAAAACATGCTAAATCCAATTCAAACATCTTTTTTTTCCTGGTGCAACCATGCTCTTAGCTAACACATCCAGGCACAATCAGTTAAGAGACATTTAAAAGCTAATTTGGGGATGCGTATAGAATTGTGAGATTTTTTTACTCTCAACTCTGTATGTATGGAAAAGTAACAGCAGCTGCCATACCGAAGTCAGTTACATATAATCCAACTGCCTCTCCATTCATTAATAAACAAGCACTTGGTATGAAGTATTCCTTCTTCAAATTCACCTTTTCATTCAGACTTTTCACACTGGCAACTGTGTTGCAACCTTTACTTTTTTAATTGGTTCATGGCTGTTTGTTTTATGCATGATTACATTACACAAATATTTTCCTGAATTATACAAACAGTTGCCTTTGAATTATTGCTTTTCATCATTTCCACTTTTGAATACATCATTTTAGGTATGGCAAGTTATACAATACACAAGAAGACTAAAAAGGAGAGGCAAAAAGGGAGCAGTTGAGAAATGAGACACAAACACTGCACTGACGGGCATATTTACTGCATATGTGGCCATTTAATGGCGATAAACTAATCCCCCTAAAATCAGGGGTATTCTTAGCATTGTCTTTATTGGCTTGAGAACTACAAGTGGAGCTTTTGTGTGCAGTAGCAGATTTACTCAGATGTCAGGTTCTGTTAACACTGATCCCTTGGTATTAGATGGCCCTTTGATATTAATGCTAAAGCTGCTCTGAGTCTCTGCCTGTTGAAGAACAGGTATGCTGGAGGTTGCACAGCTTATAGAATGAGAGCATGAAATGGATTACTATCTATGAAGACTGGTGGTGGCCATTTGTATCAGGGATTTCTGCAGATGATACGTTGTGCATGCATATTTTGCATGGGAATCCCTCAAGTTGTAGTCATAAAACAGAGGGCATATGCTGGTCTCTGAACAAGGTGGATTTGAACAGCTGTCCAAGGGTGTGTCCTGTAAAACACCCTAGCATGAGCTGGTGTAATGTGCTGACACATTCCATTAGGCACCACTGCAAACAGATGCCATGACTGGAACTTTTCATTTTCAGAATTTACTGAGCGCACAAACAGATAGCATATTGAATAGCTGAGCATGTCATGCCAGGTTTCCATACATATACAAATTAAGAAATTCAAGACCCTAGTGACCTATATATAAGAAATCCGATATATATTTACTGTACCTAGCATGTAAAATATTTACTGCTTAATACATTAATCACAGATAATAGTAGTAACTTATATTGATATCTGTAGCATATGGAGTTAATAAACTGGAAAAATAGCTTTTTAATCATGATAGGGGAAATGCATACTGTACAGGCTTAGAAAGTCATTTTGAACATTGATCTTTTTTAAAAAAAGTATTTCACTCAATGTATAGGAAATACCCGGTGGAAAAAAAAATCAGAAAAGGTAATATGTCTTGTTCCTTTCTTTACGGTACAACATGGATAGGATCCAAACTTGGTTCAGAATTACATGGAACAGTTGCATTTAGCTTTCTGTTACACATATAAAGGTCAGGTGCATGGCTACAGAGTCAATGAACATGCCTTGAAGGAGTGTAAAGAGCTGTCATATGAGTGTAATGCCACTCAGGCATGCCAAAATAATATTGCTTTCCTTGTTGGTGGTTGGGGTTTTAGCACTGAATCCCAAAGCCACTTTCTCTCTTTCACTGCTTAGGATTGGGCCATACAGTAAATCTCGATCTTTCTTCCCTCCTCCTTACTAATGTGAAACTGTAAATCCTGCCTAAATGTCTGTCAGCACAGGAGAAACAATACTGTAATCATTTCAAAAGACTACATTATTTTCATACAGCTGCAATAATGCATAGTAATATGTGTAATTTATTACAATAATCCTTCAGGTCCGATTCTCTACTCTTCTGCCTCAGCTTGATGCCATTGTGGCCATATATCGCACTTGGTGGCATCATATTGCCATCAAACTGCAGTGAAAAAAATTGTTACAACCTCAGTCAAAAGGGAAGTAATATAGGAAAATATAAATTAGAGGATAAAACAGAAGTCTAAAGAGATTATTTCAGCATACAGAAAGTCTGTTAAATTA